ATCGCGAGAGCTTATCGCCAACGTTTTTCGACGCCTCTTTTGTGTTCATACCCAAGCGATTTTCGCAGGCGATGAGCCGAGTGAATGTGCAAATTCGCTCCCTGACATTAGATGGCGCTTAATGAAAAACAGAAATAGCCCGATACACATCGAATCCTATTTGATCTGCAATTCCTCTCCATAACAACTCCCTCTTATCGAGATTTTTGTAGTCGCTGTCGCGTTTGTCATAAAGCCCTTTGTGTTCAGACACCAATGAGACCAGCAGCTCTACATTCATCTTGCCTCGATGCTTCTTCTTGGTCTACTTACCTCCTCTTTGTCGTTAGGTATCAATGTGTGCTCGGCAAGACCGTTTTGTGCTTGAGCGCCACCAAGTCATGTTTTACTGTAACTTCAGCAGCTCCAGGCACGTGAACAAAAGCGGCAATCTCATTGGTCGGACAGTTTTTAACGCGATGCGTCAAACCAAAAAAACGAGCCCGAGGCGTTTTTTTTTAAGTGATGCTTTTACGCCTCGCGTTTTGCGCGCCGGTGTGCACACTCACATTGGCGCCCTTTGTTTAGTCACGAGGCATTAAACGTCGGCGATAATCGCGCACGATATTCGTCCCGGTGTGCACAAGCCTTTAGAGTGTAAAGTGACAAAACTAAAGCTTGGCATTGGCACTGATTTCCTGATTTGATTCTGATTCCCAAGATTTTTGTTTTGTTTTGTAAACTGTTCAGTGGACCATTTTCACAAGACTGTGACAACGCGTTTCTACGGTCATCAGCATTGTAAATCCTCCAAAGTTTCCTATACATTGATTTATTTGTGGCGGCCCGCCACAATATCAACACTGACGCCACAAATAGATTTTCCAAAATGCTTTGACTTCGTTGAATAAACATGAGCACTGCATGTTTCAAAATCAAAACGCGGCACGGGTGTTTTTATATAAATGTATGTTTGTTTATCTTCAGAAACGTTTGAGCGCAGCGCTGTTTTGATTACAGCCGTTACCGGGGAAACCGCTGTTTCTTCTGCTCTTAAAGCGCCTCCTGCTGGCAGAGAATGAATTTGCACTTTCAGTAAGCCCGTCTGCTGTTTTATATTTACATTATATACATATATATTTCCCCCAGGGGAAGTGCCGCCACACATAGAGTGTAAGTCTGTGGGAAACACTGAAATGTATGTACATTTATAACACTATACTTTGTATTATATCACCTTTGCATCAAATTACAAAAAAAAATAGTTAAAAACGACGCTAATGTGAGGGTGTTTCTAATGCAGCGTCTATGGGAGGGATGGTAAATTTGACATTGTTCTCTCTTCTCACAGCCGTTATCAGTCTCTCTCTATTTTTTTCCTTTTTTTTTGAAAGTCGTGAAAACACTATTGTGGATTTTTTCTTTTGCTATTTGAGCAAATGGGAATACAAAAATGTATTTGTGTTACTCTGTCTTTTGCATTTTTTTTATTTTTTCAAATTTTTGGCCATTAAAGGTTCTTGTTTTGGGTTACACTTTCACCGAGTTTACACTTGGCAACATCAGCTGACTTCTCTATCTGGATAACCGATCGGATCTGTCGTTCCTGCTCAATATTTAAATAAGTCTGCAGAGGATGGCCCAGTGCAAAGTCGAACCGAAGTGGTGGGTTTTCTTTTGGAAACCGTTTTCAGTCGCGGGACATTTAACAAATTAAAATAACTGTACGAGTCTCCCTAGTGCTCCACGGCCTCTCTCTTCTGACAGTTCGTGAGAAATGGGGCGGGGTTTTGCGTGACGTCGACCTGCGAATGCAGACACGATGGCTGGATTGCGTTTACATTACACTGAGATCCGCATCACAATGCGTCCTCGTCTACCTCTGGACCAAGACACGCTGATCGGATAACATTCCGATCAGAAGCGCGTTTACACTTGTCTTTTCAATGTGTATGTGGACAACATCCGGATACAGGTCGCATGTTAATGCCAAGTGTAAACGCAGTCTTTATTATAAGGTGACTTTGTTATAGTGTAGGCTAATTATATAATTAAGTGCTGAGTAATATTAATTAATTTATAGTACTTACTATAAGTTTAGAATTAAGATTAGAGCTTGGTTTAGGACTAGTTGCATGTAACTGTGCATAATTTGCTGTTATTACTACAGTAAGTAGTACATGTAACGAGTAAAAAGGACACTGAAAAATAAAGTGTTATCTTGTTTTTTGTTTTGTTTTTTAGTTACCATGTCAACAGATCTGTTTTAATTATTGCATAATTGCCTCCCTTTTGTTTTGTCTTGTGAATGTTTCCGTTACCATGTCAATAGACATATTTCATAATAGTTATTACAAAATTGCCTCATTGATACATGCAAAATTTACACTGTAATTGCAGCATGTTCCATATTGACATTATTTTCACATTTGCATATATATATATATAGAGAGAGAGAGAGAGAGACTATATATATATATAGGTTAATATTAAGGTTAATATTCCTGTACAAAGGTGATATAATGCATAATGCAGTAGGTTGGAGGAGATGAGAGAACTTATTTGGAATTTTAAAAAATGGAGTTGTTTTGGAATAAGTAAAGTAAATAACTGTTATCAACTCCTTCATGCCAAATAAACAACTAAAACGGCAAATAAATATTTAGTTACTTTGAGTGTGGTTGCTGTACAAATTGTGATTTGCTACATATATCCAGCAGCTCTCTACACCTGCATTACTCACTCAATCATTTGTCGGTCCTGTTTTCTCAGAAGTGGACTCTGATTGAACCACAGATCCGTCAGCATGACCTGTGTCTGGCTATCACAGCTTTCCCTGCAGGGTCAAAGGTCAGACTGGAGCCCTGCAACATCAAAGAGTCCAGACAGGTGGGTGTATGTGTAACTGACACATAGGCTATTAGAGTTTCCATGAGCTACTGAGAATCAATCACATGCAGGTTCGATGTCTGCTGCTTTCAGAAGACTATTAAGCTCTATTCTGACAGCACTAGTTGTTTTTGTGGAAGTTATGTAAATTTCATAAAGTGAAATTCTGTTGCCATTTGACGTGGAATGTTGAGTGTTGTCCCTCTCTCATTCTCTCAGTGATAATATATAT